CCTAGGGGATGCCTTCCGGGAGATCTTTTAAGGGTAACTGGTCCCTATTCAGGCGTTATAGACGTGGAGAAAACCGGAAAACTCCACATGGCCAGTTTGCCCTGGAAAGGCGCAAACCCATGACCGAATTTCGCGTTCAGGGAACGGAACTGCTTGGTCACTGATAGTGTCTTACATTTTTTAATAACTAAATTTTCAATAATAAAAATTGAAATTGAAGTAAGTTACTTGTTACAAATCGAAATTGGCTTGAATCTCTCCTAATAGAAACGTACTCAACGTTACATCTCACACGTAGATATTATCAATAATGCAAAATTTTATTTCATTATATAATAAATAGTGACTCCAGTTTACGGACTGTTCATAAATGACGTCCACGCTGGAAGGGAATGGTTATGACAAGGTGGACAGAGTTGAACAAGGGGAGGGGAGGGATTGTGCTTCATTGAAGTCCGTTTTAATTCATTAATTAAATTTTAGTTTATGCATTTTATATTTATTTCAAAACTTCTTGTATGACGATTTTTTCAAAATACCGCTTTTGAGCTGGTAGCAAGGGTACGGCAGAATTTTCATTTTTAAACATAATTAGCAAACCAATAATATATTGTAGTGTTTTTATAATGTACAGTACTACTAATATTTAAAAAGTTGGTACACCATGTAGTGTACTGTAGACTGACCTTAACCCTAAGGAATTTTGGTTATTTAATTCCTGGATGTTATGAAGTTTGTGGCTTTTCTATTATCTCTATATTTCAGTTTAGTAACTTGTATGCAAGTATTACCATATTACTGTACTGCACATACATAGGTACTAAGTTTATGCATGCAGACATGACAGCTCAGCAGGTTAGTTTAATTATTGTGGGGAAGATTACTTCAGGATTCTGATACCATGCAGCAATAGTTTGAAAATTACTTGAGATGATCTTGAGAAAGATCCGAAGGACAACATGGCAAAGACTAACAGATGCTGGAAACTGGAGTAGACGGTAATCACACCTAAGGGACTGTAGGAGAAATAGTTGGAGCATCTGAGGGAGATTAGCAATGGCAAACAGCGAGCAAATAAAGAAAGGTGGCTGGCCAAGACAAACTTGAGTTGGATTGATCGATCAGAACAGTCGGATTATCTATCCAGAAGTTCATTTTTGGGTCTCTGACCCAAAGATAAAGTTCCAAATAGAACGATTCATGACCAATGACCTTTCTTGATTTGCCTGCCCCTTGGAACATGTCCTACTTGATGGATAGAGTTGCAACAAATAGCAGTTTGTTGGAATAAAATAAAACTTCATTAATGCAAATGTAATGACGATGATAATACACCGTCAATACAATGGTTACAATATAATAATAAAGAAGTAATTTCTTATACAACAAAGGTACAATTTGAAAGGATCCTTTTAGTTCCTTATAAAACCTCCTCATGTGTGGACACATACCGGCTGAATATGAAAAAATACAGGCACTGCACGCTACCCTTCTACAGATTTGCTCAGAAATGTTTCAATTGCTGCTTCAAATTATTCACATTTGTAAATGGCTAAAGCTGGCGTCCCATCTGGTCCCACAGATGCCTGATGAGTAACAAATATGGAACTACGAAAGCCAAGAAAATGAGGAAACATGATGGGAAATCCTAGTTGTGTGCAGTCTAGCATTAACATGCTGGAAAATGCTGTTTGCATCTCTGCCATGAAAAGCAACACATTAGAGCACAGGATTTCCAAAATATTCCCAGTTCCACTAATAGAGGTGACTGTCATACAAGATGACTCTTCAGACCAGCATGACAACAATGAAGAAAGTGTGTCATTCAACAGTAAAGATGGGATTGAAACACTCAACAGTGGTCTTCATTCTCTAACATTGTGGTCATTGTTTCCAAACAGAACTGGATTTTGTCACTGAAGACAATTCATTGTCAATACATAGCAGTTCATGCTTCTGTCAAGCACCACTGCAAATAAAGCTAATGATTTGGGGTTCTTATTGGTACATGTATGATTTCCATGCTGCCATGTCTGTGCCCTCATGTATCCATCTACCCCAATACCACTTCATGATCAGGTAACAAAGCCTAAAGGATGACAATAATTTGGCCATCTGCTTATCGCAGCTCAATGATGTGGTTTTTCTAAAATGCCATCATCTGTGCATAATTTCTTTGATTGTGTTATACAAACATGCTTGCCTTTCAAAGACTTCCAAACATGAAATATACTGAAAATTCTGAACATGGCTTTTTATAGGATATGTAGTAGTAATTTTTAAGAAACTGGCAGCATTACCTGGTATGCAATCAAACCATAAGTATAATCATTTACATACCTGTCTGAGAAAGTTGTATGCTGAATTTTGAGGTAATTGGACAAATTTATCTAGTTGTATAACTTTTTGTCAACGAATATTTTTAGAATTGCTTTGAAAATGTATTGAATCAAGTTTTGTAATCACACTTTTACCATGAAAAGGTCAAAAGAAACTGTCTAAATGATCAAAATGTTCAAAGCTATAATTCTAACTTTAATTTCACTATCTGTAGAAATTTAAAGCTTAAATTTTCTGGTAAATTTGGAACAAAGTATTTATTTTTCTAAATGACTAATTGTGATGTTACTATTACTACTTATCCATAGAAAATAATTCTTGGTTTTGGATTAAAAAAAATTCAAAGTAATTTTAAAGTGATGTAAAATAAACAATAAATAAAATATTTTGTTGTATGTGTTTAATAGCTTTTTGCAATACACACAAAGGACTTAAAAATAAATAGAAAAAAATATATATAGCTTATCTCCATGTTTAACCTACTTAACTTTTTGTACAATTAGAAAAATACTTAAACCAATCAAAATCATAAACCTTAAATGGCACTTAAAAAACATTTAAATGTATAAATTTTATCAGGTAACCAAATATTAATTAACCCCTTAACGACCACCTGTTTTTAATTATAATGTAATTAAGCATAAAAAATACTTAAAACTTAAAAAAAACGAAAGAAATGCGTTAATTTTGAAGAAAAAGCTTCGAAGTTTAAGTTCCTTTGTCTCCCCTTTCTGCGAAATTAAACAGGGATGAGTCATTCTTTACACAGCTGGATGACCTTGAGAACAGCTGGAGTCGGATTTCCCGAGGCATTCTCATAGACGTCTCGGGAGGACAAGGGTTTAAAGTAGGGTGAATACTAACTAGGCGTATATTTTTAAATATTTTTAAAAAATTAAAAATTTTATTGTGATTTCCGATCCCCCTAATTAATTAATTTATATAAAATAAAATATATTAATTAAAAAATTTAAAAACTATTGGAGGTCGTTTTTGACATCAGAAAGCAGCTTTAAATAACTTTACCGAAGTCAAATCCGTGCACTACAACTTTAGAACGATTAATTAAATTTGATAAAAAAAACTCCTATTAAAAAACAATTAAGCCTTAATCGAGCCTTATCAAAGGCTAATTAAAATCGCGATAAAATTTTTTCGCGCGGGTAAAAATTTTTGCAAAAATTTGTGGACCTAAAAAACATTCCAAAAATTGAAAAAAAAAATGTTTTTTCAAAAGTGGCCTTAACTACCGAGTTTTTCGTAACGCTATGTAAACTTGACCAGTTATCTCGTCAATGGGCGTTAAGATATATAAATGTCATTTTTTGAAATGTGAATAAAATGCTTGTAGTTTTTGTTTTTTGATAAATGAAATTTTAATTTTATTTATCAAAATATCGAATTTACATTCAATTACACTTTCCCAATGAGAGGACAGTTTGAAAATACCAGATCTGCATTAAAGTTTAAGTTACTCCTTTTTATAGCCATGTGATTTGTAAATTCTTTTCCATGCATATGATTATCCAAAGATAAAAAAAGTTTTTTTCAAACAGAGATAAGTCAGGAGAATAAGAAGGACGAGATAAAAGTTTCCGTCCCAATTACATTATTTTGTTCCTTGTAATTTCTGCAATGTGTGGATGAGTGTTATCTTGTAAAGCAAAAAACACCTTGACAATTTGCCAAAGATTGTTGTTTTAACCTTAATTTGTCATACTCTTTGTAGCTGCTCACTGTACAAATCTTTTGTGAGGGTTTGACCAACATTCAAGTATTCATGATGAACATAGTTTTTTTCGGGAGCCATTCAAATCATTTATAAAAATGGTATATTCAAACTGCCCTCCTGTTGAGAAAAGTGTAAATGAATGTGAAGGTAAATATTTTGATGAATAAAATTATTTTAAATAAAAAATACAAGCAATTTTATTTACATTTCAAAATGACATTATTTATTTGGTTACCTAATATTCGTTTTTAACAAAATTTTATATAGAACATAATCAAAGCATAATTCAATATATTGTTGTTACTTTGTAAATTAATTCATTCTGGGCATCATTGGTCAAACACATTCTAACATAGGAATGTGATGTGGAAATTTCTTATAATATTGAGTTATAGACAGATGAATAACCAAAGAAATTAAGAGATGTGATTATTCTGAAGAAACTGTGTTCAAATCCAGCAGTTGGCATGAATAAAAGGTTTTCTTAGTACTCTTAGAATAAAAAATTATAATACAGAAATTCCATTTAAATTTTGTATTTTTACTTTAAACAAAATTTATATTTAGGAAACTAAAAATAATTGGTAGGTTGTTATTACAAGATAATCAAATGGAAATTTTACTTGAGAGGCTGAGTTGGTAGCACTTAATTGATTTGTCATGTGCCACTAACTTATTTTTGAATACTTCAAATTCTATTCAAGTCCGTAGTAAATAAATGTTTGGAATAAATTTTTTCATGACACAGAGCAAGACAGTAATGAGCAAGGCTGGCTCAAGACATTATCAAATACACTGCTAGCCATTAAAAGTGCTACACCAAGAGGAAAGCAAATAGCAGAATCATGTTTATTGTACACATACAGTATAATGGGAGGAAGACATGATTAAATTGGCAGGTAATTTTGAGGTACAGAGCATGCAGAAATTAGTACCTAGAGCAGCCGCTCCTGGCAGCAATAACAGCTGTAATCTGGATGGGCATTGAGTCGAACAGAGTTACAGGTAAAGCAGTCCACACAGCTTCAACTCTACCAGAGTCATCTATCATACTAGCTGGAGAGTGGTGGTGTGCCAGTTTCTCAGCAACCATTGACCAGATATTATCAATTGGAGACAGATCTGGAGAATGTGTTGCCCTGGCCAACACGTTCTCCAGATCTGCATTCAATAAGGCCAGGACAGCATGGACAACATGTGGTTGTGCATTGTCCTATTGAAAGGTAACATGACGAAGGCCTCAAAGATAGGGCACAGTGACGGGTCTTAACACATCAGAAATGTAACACCAGCTCTCCAAATTACTGGCTATGCGAACAAGAGGCAACCAGGTTACGTGTCCAGTGGCACCCCATACCATCACTCCAGGTGCTGGGCCCAAACAACAATGACAAATGCAAACTGGAAATGATCATTCCCCTCGGTGCCTTCACACATGGATACGGCTATCATGATGCTGTATGCAGAATCAGGCTGTCTGAAAAGATGATGTGACAACACTCCTGTGTCCGTATTCATCATTGAATGCACCATTGCCTGTCTGCTGCAGTATCAAGGGAAGCCACAGCAATGGTCATGTGCTGATAATCCATTGTGCTACAGACATTATTGTACTGATGCTTGCTGTTCTGAAAATGACCAAAGTTCCTGACTCAAGGTATGTGATGTGGCTGTATGATCCCACAAGGCGATGTGAACAAGGTGTCTGTCTTCTCAGGTGTTAGTGACCAAGGTCCACTGAGATCCTGCATTTCATTCTGTAAGGCCCTCCTGGACCCAATGATTCCATATTCTCATGACAGTCATGGGATCATAACTAATGCAAGCAGCAATAGCACAGAATTATAAACCATAGAACCTAGTAGGCTACAATTCTACCACGATGAAACCCTGACACATGCTGGTAGGCATTCCTCCTTCTTACACAAGGCATAACAGAACCTTTACACAAGCAACCAATTGCAAATGCAATTTATATATAAGAAATCCTTCCCTTTTATACAGATTGTAGATGGCCTTACTCCTATCTGCTTTGCAAGCATGCATTGAAATGCTATTCATTTGTATATCCCAGCATGTTGCATCTTTCATGCAAATTTCGCATTTGTTGCATGCCACCATTATGGTACTGTACAACAATTTTAATGGCCAGCAGTGTATATTCCTTGCAAGTAAACTTTTCATTTGATCAAATGATAATTATAAATGAAATATACCTGAATTCAACAGTTTAAAGAATAATTTTAAAACTTTTAAAGATAGAATTAATATTTCAATATGCTGTTTTATCACTTAATTTATTACTATTTTTCTATAAGCAAATATTTTTCTGCACATTTTTTAAATATGAAATTATAAAGATCATAAAAATCATATAACTAACACCTTATTCTTGCCGAGAAATATAATTTATTTGAAACAAACAAACGTTTTCAGCCTGATTCACAGGCCATCCTCAGGTTTAGAATTTGTATTCCAGAAGGTTCTAAAATTAATTTAATAATTTATTTATTTAATTTTAATTATTAATTTACTTGAGAGATGGCGCCTAATGCCTACCTCTAGTAACAAATTACTTTATTCTAATCATTTAATTAGCCATATAATAGCCCGATATTTAGGCGATCGTTTGGCAATGTATTATGTATATATATATTAAAGTTTTATTAACTATTAAATACGACACAAAAGTCAATGCAAATAATTAATATAACGATTATTCATTATTTACAGTGAATATAAACGTTATCAACGTTAATTAATTTTTTCTAATAATTCCTCGAAATTGAATTATGATTGGAAAAGCACAAAAGTTATTAATATATTACTAATGTACTGTACATAAATTGTTGTATTAAGTGTGAAGTATTATAGTCAAGCATTTAACTGAAGCTATAACATTAATAATTCATTGATCCGTTTACAGACCAAATCGATTAATTCCGTTTGTATATCCTTAGAATAATCGTTAATATTTTTACATTTTTTTTATATTCATACCAATTTTATATGACGTTACATAAAAGCTACAATAAATTAAATGACTGAGAAATAGAAAAATATTTTCAATAATTACTTGCTGTTGAATAAAATTCTTTCTATCTGAGAGATTATCAGTTTCATTTTAACCAGTGTAATTACGCATATCCAACAATAAGGATAAATGATATTAGGATTTCAGAGATACAATATAACTTTCATCGCTGACTAAAAATGTTCAAATATAGAAAATATGTAAACACAAGTAAAAGTAGAATTGATTAATGTTCGAATTGAAAGATTAATGCCATGACTTTCCAGCTGGTAAATTTTCGAGCTGGTTAGTTAACAAGCTCGAAAATTTTGCTGAAAAGTCAACAATAGATATGAATAACCAGGAACAGGAAGATTTATCGCCTTTTTATTTTCTTAATCCATTTTAAATTATTTGTATAGATTTTTTAATGCTTTGTGATTAAAATTTAATTATATAGATTGTAGCTCCCGCTGTTATAACCTATATTCCGAAGCATGGGCTTCGGAGATAAACTATTTACATTCTTCCTGTCATTGGTCTTTTCAGCAGTTTCATGAAATATGTAGTTAATAGTTCATGATAGTTCATGTAACTGTACTTATGTTAACATTAATATAACTGTTTGAGATTTCTATCATATTATTTTTATTCTAATATTGATAAAATTTACCATTACGAGGCAGATAATTCGGATCTGATAAAAAGTTGTCCGTTTGTAATAACAGATTCGAATCTTGTTCTTCTGTTGAAGTATTCTGAGCAGAAGACTCATTACCAGGAATCTGTGGTTTCTGCTGATATTCAATTACTTCAATTGGCGGCTCAATTTCAGATAATTCTTGCTGCGGTCCTTGCTGCAGCTGCTGCTCTGACTGCTCATAATACATTCCTGGTTGCGATTCATGAACAACCATTTCTGCTGGTTGCCAAAAGCCAACCATATTAGGAGGTGGTCCATAATTAATTATATTAGGATTTGGACCGTAACCGATCATATTAGGCTATGGTCCGTAACCAATCATATTAGGATATGGTCCGTAACCAATCATATTAGGATATGGTCCGTAAGCAATCATATGTGGCGATGATCCATATCTAATTATAGAAGGAGGGAGCCCATATGCAATCATTCCAGGGGATTGAAGCTCCTGTCTCATTGGTCCTTGTTGATACATTTGTAATAAATTCTGAAATATGAAGCATGGAATTGATAAATAATAAAAAATACGGTGGCCTATTAGTAATACAGTACCTAATATTGTAGATAGGTAAATTAACATGTATATTATAATTTAAAGAATCGCCATTGGTTCTCAAATGTTTGTATTATTAATGGTAATAATATAATGGGTCAATATGAATTCGAGTTTACCTACTCCAACATAATTTGTGTAAATACAGTCGACCCCCCTATAACGTACGTTCCTATAACGACAATTCCTAGAACGTAGCGAAAAAATTGTAGCAACTTTCGTATAACGTACCTCCTATAACGTCGTTTCGCGACAAGATTGATAGAGTCTGGACCAATAGTGGATGAGCAGCCGAACTACTTTCCTCCGACCCTGCGCCACGCTACGGAGCGGCTAAATTGAGTTTGCTATCGTCTGTTTAGTATTATATATAAATTA